CCTGCTCATGCCATACCCTCAAAACATGAGCCAAAATAAATTCTCCCTCCTTTGAGTTGTGTCAAAAGTAACTAATATGGCCATTAAAAAATAATTCCTAGTTTCTTCTTTCCCAACCCTGGCAACCACTAATCTAACTTACTGTCTCATGTGAGTGGAATCATCCAGCTCTGTATTTGTCATATAACTTACTTCACTTAACATACTGTTTTCAAGGTTTATCTGTGCTCTAATGTGGGTCAGAATCTTCTTCCTTTACAATATAATATTTTTATTAATTCTTAGAGAATTTCACATACTGTATCTTTATCATATTCACCCTCCCAGAAAAACACACACACACACACACACACACACACACACACACACACACACACACACACACAGACACACACACACTTCTTTGTTGTAGAATATTATTTTAAAGTGTGTTACTTTTGTTTATGTTGCATTTGTTTAACTCTGTGAAGCTGTGTTGCTGTGACTGTCTAAAACACCTGATGGTCTAATAAAGAACTGAATGGCCAATAATGAGGCAGGAGAGAGAAATAGGTGGGGCTGGCAGGCAGAGAGTATAAATAGAAGGAGAACTCTGGGAGGAGAAAGAAAGTAGCCAGAGAAGGAGAAGTCTGGGGGTCAGCCATCCATCTACACAACCAGCAACGGGGTAAGAAAGAAAGGTATACAAAAATAGAGAAAGGTAAAAGCCCAGAGGCAAAAGACAGATGGGTTAATTTAAAATTAAGAAAAACTGGCAAGAAATAAGCCAAGCTAAGGCCGGGCAGTTATAATTAAGAATAAGCTTCCATGTGTGATTTATTTGGGATCTGGGTGGCGCCCCCTCCAAAAGAACCAAAAACAACCAACAACACTTCTTGTCCTTTTTTTTAGAAGAGACTATCTCGAAGCAGATGTCCTGGTCCTCTGGTTCTTATAGTCTTTCATCCCCCTTTTCCATGGCGTTTGTTGAACCTTAAATGTAGGGGTTGTGTTGCAAATGTACTAATTGGGGATGGGCACCCCATGGTCAGTTGATCTATGCATTTTGACTAATTATGGCCTTCTATAATGATCTCTACCTGATGCAAAAAATAAAATAAAAGTAGCTTTTTTGATGAGAGGTGAGATCTACACTTACCAGTGAATATAATGAGAAGTATTTAGAATGCATTCAAATATAAAAAATATAATCAAAAAATTCTTCAAGATGAATTTAATTATAAAAAAATGGTTAGTATTTGCAAGTAGTGATTGGATAATACTTGGTGGTGGCCTTTAATCCCAGCACTTGAGAGACAGAGGCAGGTGAATCGATAAATATATGGCTAGCCTGGTCTACAGGGCTAGTGCCTGGACAACCAACAACAACCAAAAAACCAAAAAGAAAAAAAATTGGGTAATCTTTCTTCTGTGAGATGCATAGTTCTCATCTCTATTCCTCTCTTTTCTTTCTTTTTTCCTTTCTTCCTTCCTTCTTCCCTTCCTTCCTTCCTTTCTTTCTTTCTTTCTTTCCTTCTTTCTTTCTTTCTTTCTGTCTGTCTGTCTGTCTGTCTTTCTTTCTTTCTTCCTTTCTTTTTTTGAGACAGGGTGACAGGCTCTCACTCTGGAGCCCTAGCTGGCCTGGAACTCACTATGTACATCAGGTTGGCCTCAAATGCTCAGTCATCCTCCTGCCTCCGCTTCTGCCTTTGCAGGGTGGGCGTGGCCACCATTCCTAGCCCCCAGATTCTTTTACCTGTGAATTTTTGTCTTTTGTCAGTTCTAGAAAATGCTTGGTTAACATCTCTTCGAAAACTGCTCCTGTGGGCTGGAGACACGACTCAGCAGGAAAAAGCAACACCTGAAATCAACCCAGAATCCACATGACGGAAAGGGAGGTCACGTTCTAGGGTATTTAGAACAAAAAGAGGACACCAAAGCTTTTCTTCCAGGAAGTGCTTTTTTGTGCTGAAACTTCAGTTCCTAGAAGATTTCTATTCAAGACTGGAGCCCCACAAAGTTAAGGCTCTTATATATTTTGGACTTTTTGTTTTGTCTCTTGTATGTGGTGACATACCATCTTGACTGGGTACTTGAAACTACAAGGCTTTAATATTCGAAGGACTGTGGGGAGGGAGGAGAAGGAAGGTGCGAGAGAGGTGTGGTGAAATGGTAGACACTCGAGGACACTGACTGACCGGGCCATCAGGCTGTTTCCTATTTTTCTTTTCGTCCACTTGTCGGGGCACCTACCACAAACCAACTCCTTCAAGTTTTCTTCTGACACCCAAAAACACGCCTCAGCGAGGGGTGGGATTTTGTGCCTTGTGCCCCTCCATGCTAGAGTTTTGACTGGCTAGCTCTTGGGCAGGCCATAGCCACTGTGAGTCTGTGAGTGCAACAGCAATGAATCTCTGCAGTAACCACTACCCACTGCTAAAAGGAGCTCATCTGACCAAGGTTGAGAGCAACGCAGACCTATGCACATGAACAATATTTAGAAGACAGTTCAACATGACTATTTGCAAAGCAACAGTGGTAGGCTCACCCACCCATAGAGTCTATTACCTCCCCAGCCATGGGCTTCTGACCAAATTTACAGTACCAGGCAAAATTCCCTCCTGTGGAGCAGGCCTTAAATCCAACCATCATGCAGAGTCCAGTACTGGGTAAAATCACTGATGTATTTTCTCTCCCACTGACCTGTGCAGCACCTTTAGCACTATGAAAGCTAGCTAGCGGGGTGGGGGGGGTGGGGGGGATGTTTCCATTCAGTTCACTTGATTTCTGTATGTCCTACAACCAAAGTGTGTGGTATCTTCAGCAATAGGACCTTACCATCTACTTTTGGTGAGTAACCGAGAGTAATAGCAATGGTCTGGTTGTTCTGTGGGCCTCTGGGTTACTGGCTCATTTTAAGGTTTGAAGAAAAGATGTGTGAAGGTTTTGCCTGAATGTATGTATGTGCACTGTGTGCATGCATGGTGCCCTTGGAGGCCAGATGAGGGTGCCAGATACCTCAGAAATGGAGTTAAGGAAAGTTGTAAGCTGCCATGTGTGAACTGGAAACGAAACTTGGGTCCTCTGCAAGAAAAGCAAACACTGAGATATTTCTCCAGTCCTAGTATTGACTTATTTTAAACAGAATTCCCTAATGTTGCATAATACAGTGATCCTGCTCAGAAATCCTCTTCAGTGTTTCCAACATGTAAACGAGCTCACTCAACATTGATTTGAAGCTTGTTTTAGCTTGACTTCCTATATTGTAAAAGGCAAAAGGCCAAGAGCTAAGTCTCTCAGACTTCTTTTTACCTGGGATTACTCGTATAACCTAGATACCACCGAAGAGATGCTATAGCCCTAGACTTGGGTGTAAAATTGGGCAACAGGAGATGGCATATTTTCTGACTATAGTAGTGGAAGTGTCCAGTTCTGGTACATATAGAGAAGTTTCTAACGTCTGGTCTCTAGTATCTTGGCTGCCAATAGAAAGCAAATGGTTCCTAGAAGATATGCCTATAACATGGCTTGCCATTCCTCTGATCTTTCTTGACATTGGCTGTGTTGTTTAGAACAGGAAGCGTTGAAGTCTGGTCTCTAGTTCTCTCGGAAGCTGTATAAACTAAGACCTTTCAAATCGCTTTTTACTTAAGCTGTCTAGAGTGGATTCTATTGTCTGCAACTAAGATTCTGTTATGTCCAGTGAAGTAAAAACAGAATGGAACACAGTGGAGAGGAATCTCTGCTACTCTGAATTGTAAAGGGCCCAAAGCTTACCTACGTTTTACAAATTTCCTTGACAGCTAAGTCAATTAGATTCAGCATCAACATAACTGAATACGGATATAAACACTGAAGCAGGGACAGGCAGGACGGTTCAGCAGGTAACGAGCTTGATGACCTTTGACTCCTGAGGCCCACACAGTAGGAGAGAACTGGCTCCTAGAAGTTATCCTCTGACCTCCACGAGCATGTGGCGCCCACATTAAAGAAATAAAACTTTAAATAGCAACAACAGTAAATAAAGGTTATTAACTTCCTGCTTTCTGGGTGAAATTCCCTTTCCCCCTTTTCTCACGCAGTAATTTCAATTTTATATACTATTTCTAGCATTAAAATTTTCTGTCTGACCGGGCGGTGGTGGCGCACGCCTTTAATCCCAGCACTCGGGAGGCAGAGCCAGGCGGATCTCTGTGAGTTCGAGGCCAGCCTGGGCTACCAAGTGAGTCCCAGGAAAGGCGCAAAGCTGCACAGAGAAACCCTGTCTCAAAAACCCAAAAAAAAAAAAAAAAATTTCTGTCTGGAATCATTGTAATGGGTTGTTTTCTTGGCAAGACACAGGCTCACAAGTCAGTTCTTCCTTTAGTAGAAAAGAAACTATCATTGAATAGCTTTGAATATCATTGAAAAGAAACTCACTGAATAGCTGATGAAGTAAATTCAGATGCTTTCAACTGATCTTTAGTCCCTTATCCATAATGCTTTGCCCGGTGTGGACTTCATCTGAAATCCTAAAGCCACCTCTACTGCATCCTTCACTGTCTGGAGTCCCTGGAGACCTGCATTTCCCTTGTGTATGACCACCCTGTCTGCACTGCAAAGTCAACTGTCTTCCACCTTGGCATACCTTACAGTGGATTGCCTGTGCCCTGCTAACCGGAAGCCCCAGAAGGACGGGTACAGACACTGCTGACTCTTGACTGCTCGCACACTTGACACCAAGCAGATGCTTAAGGAATTTAATAGCACCCGTGGCAGAAACTCACAGACAGAAGTGAGCTTCTCTGCCAAGCCCCGGGTACCAGGGCTCAGGTGGGATCTTCTTTGTACATAACGCGCTAGCGTGTACAAGTGCATGCAGAATAGGAGCTCAGAGGCAGGCTGAGCCCTACCCTGGAGAAGGACCTGGGACATAGAGACGGCAAGAATATCAGGCACCAGGAAGCTTTAATAAGGCAGAGCACCTCTTCTTCTACCCTGTCCCTCCCTCCTCCCCCTCCTCCCTCTCCTCCCCCTCCTCTCCTCCTCCCTCAGTTACAGACAGGTCCGGCCTGTCCAAGGATGTAGCTCTCTTCAGCTGAAGACATTACTTTTTCTGTCCCCTCAGCCGCTCTAGCTTCCTCCGAAGGTCTGGGGGCACCTTAGCCCCGGCTGCCAGCAGCTCTCGAAGCCTCTGCTTAGGAGTCTTGGTGAGTAGGAAATTGCAGGGAACAGGGCCCTCTTCAAAGGTAACCTGGCAATGACGTTTAACTGTATGGTAGCCCTCGGCACTGGCTGTCACCACGTAGTCCCCAGGAGTCAGCAATCGCCAATAATCTCCGCCCCATGCTGATAGAAGTGAAGGGCTCGAGGTTAGATGGGGTTCAAGGATCTTCAACTCCTGACCAGTCGAAAAGTCCCCAGCTCCTCCCTCTGCCACACACACACACCTGTTGTAACATCGTGGTTAATGCCCTCCACAGCAATGACAGCATCCGCAATCCCCAGCTCTGTGTCTTTGTCCCGCACAACTCCTGCAATGCCCATGCGCACCTGTGTAGCAGAAGTTAAGTGGGCTTTTTGTTGTTGTTGTCGTTGTTTATTGTTTTGTTTTTGGTGGGTTTTGTTTGTTTGTGGTTTTTTGAGACAGGGTTTCTCTATGTAGCCATGGCTGTCCTGGAACTCACTCTAGAAACCAGGCTGGCCTCGAACTCAGAGATCCACCCGCCTTTGCCTCTCGAGTGCTGGGATTAAAGATATGTGACACCACTGCCCAGCTGAAGATTTTTAAGGCAAAGTCTCAATACGTAGTCCAGGCTACCCCTGAGCCTGAGTCTCCTGCCTCCACTTCCCAAGTTCTGGAATTACAGGTGTGAGTCACCTCAGCCTATATAAAAGTTTATCAAAGCCTTGAGGTAGATGTAAGATTTCAAGTTAAAGACTAGCCTGGGCTACACAGTGAGACTCTGGCTTAAAATCAAACAAATAAACAAAAAATTTAAAGACACTTTCCCTTTGCGGAAGATTGTGACTTTGAGCCAGGCAGTGGTGGCACATGCCTTTAACCCCAGCACTCCGGAAGCAGAGGCAGGCGGATCTCTGTGAGTTCGAGGCCAGCCTGGGCTACAGAGTGAGTTCCAGGAAAGGCTCCAAAGCTATACAGAGAAATCCTGTCTCAAAAAAACAAAACAACAACAAAAAGGTGACTTTGTTAACTTTCTGGCTGTTGCCTTGCAAGCTTGATAAGGTGCCAGATCTACTATGATCCTAGGTGACAAAATTTCTATTAAAAAGAAGAAAGGGGAAGGGAAATTGCAGCTGGAATATAAAAGTAAATAAATAAATTTATTTTAAAAAATTATCTCCTAACTGCTAACTTATACCTGGTCTTGTAAGAAGGTATAACTTTGGGGCTTTCCGGAGTGTGGTAGGGCTGCTATTAAGCTTATCTTTGTGTATGTACAGGCGTTCCTGAACAGGGCATCAAGGTCCTCTCTCTCTCTCTCCACTATTTCTTTAAGGCAGGGTCTGTCCTTGAACCTGGAGCTCACACTTGGCTAGGCTGGAAGCCAGCAAGGCTCAGCAATTCTTGTCTACCCAACTCAGAGCTGGGGTTACAGGAATTTCTGGGGATGCTCAGCTTGTTACCTGGGTGCTGGGATCTGAACTTCAATCCTCTTTAAAAAAAATTTTTTTTTACATTTATTTATGTTGTGTGGGCCTATGTTTGCATGTGGGGATGTACATGCCAGGACAAGTGTGTGAAGGTCAGAGGACTTGTAGGAGTCAGTTCTCTCCTCCCACCACGTGTATCGCATGGATTAAACTCGGGCTGTTAGGCTGAGAAGCTGGTGACTTCACCTCCGGGCCATCTCACACCGGGGAGATGTCTTTTGTAGAATCATGGCTGCTATTCTTATAGAGCCATTCACAGGGATCTTAGTCCCGGAGGGATGCAACATTTTTACATCTGACTAATGTCTTTTCTGAGAAAAGCTATCCTAACAATGACAGGTTTGAGACAGTCCCAGGGGCCAGCTAGCCTCAGGTCGCTCTGGCTTCTAGTTCCACTGGCTTACAATATCTGAAACCACCCTTCTAGCAAATTGCACTTCCTTACCCAGATCATTCCAAGACAATCTGATATCACACGTGGCCCACAATGTAGTGGAGATCTGATGCCAGTTAAGACTGCTGGTTTTCCCAGTTCTTTACGGTACAACTCCTGGGCAGCAGGCTGGCCAGGGGTAACTCAGGGAGGGAGGCCAGGAACCGGGGATTCGGATCCCACCTGCTCCAGGTACGTGAGAAGGGCGTCTTTGTTGTTTTCCCACTCCCGAGGCAGCTCCCTCTCATGAGGGAACTTGTCACAGGACAGCTCCACAGTGACCTCAAAGCAATTGGTGTGTAGGTAGCTGAAGTCGTTCATGCCTGGGGATACCAAAGACACTGGAGAGTTAAGTGGGTGGATAGGAGCCCCACTCTCCCAGTACCCGTGAGAGACACCCAGGGTCGGGACTGACAAGTACTATACATTACAAAAAGACTATTATGGGCTAGGTGGTTATGGAGACAGGACGAATTCCACTCTCAGGCACATACTCCCAGGAACTGTGTGCCAGTCGGCTCCATTAATGACGTTGCCATGCAAGGAGAAGTCCTGGCTGTGACAAGGTCGGCGATCTGTGTCTTGCATGGCCCTGTTAGTGCCAGCATAGACCGTGCTAAGCCAGCGAAAGACAGCGTCATCCGGTGTGGGGGTGAGTTCACGAGCGGCCCACGGCGTCCGAGTCATGTCGAAAGGGTAGGACACCACAAGTTCACCCCCATGGAGGTTGGCGCTCAGCACAAACGGAATACGCTTCATCCATTTGATCACTGCCCACGTTTCAGGAGCCACCTAGACAAGGGTAGGTGAGGACGGGCGGCACACAGAGACAGGGGGGCCTTGCCCCCCACCACTGCCCCCCAAATACTCACAGTGGCATTGGGCAGCGTATAGTACGTAGGCAGTGGCAGGTGATGGTTGGGGACAGTGTGGGGTACCAGCCCATCATCTTCTGCATACCACAGTGGTGTGTTGAGGTCAGCAAAATTGTGGTTAAGGTCAATGCCCTGGTGGGTCCAGCGACCCTCTGCCCAGCCCACCAGCTCTGAGCCCTGCCAAGAAAGGTCCTTGTTCAAGTCAAACAGGCTCTGTGTACCATGGCAGAAGGGACAGGGAAGCCCTCATGCCAAGTGGCCTACCCTGTGGTAGGCAGTCTCATAGCCATCAGGATTCATGGAGGGCAGCAGGTGAATACGGGTCTCGGTAAGCAGCCGAGTCACTCGTGGGTCCCCTCGTAGGAACTCGTGACATAAGAACTGCATCAGAAGCAGAAGTAACTCCCGCCCCAGGGCCTCATTCCCATGCATTCCAGCCACGTAGCGGACCTCAGGCTCTCCTGGAAATACATGGAGGCTTAGCGCTAGCTCACACCGTAGCCTGTGCTGTGCCCACCTCTTCCCATGCCGTCAAAGAGTACCCAGCTCATGCTCCCCAGGCCGGTCTGACATCTCCATCACATACAGCTTCAGACCCTGGTGGCTCTTCCCGATGCTGTAGATGCGGGTGATGTTGGGACACTGTTCATTCACCTGTTTCATCAACTGGGAGGCAGAGGGGAGCATGAGGCGGTTACACACAGAAGTCAGACCATGAGTAACCGTGGAAGGACTTACAGAGCCAGAGGTGCACACAGATGCGAGCAACGTGGTATGATCCAGAAAAGGCACAGCAGGCCAGGAGGAAGGGACAGAAAGGGTGGTGTCAAGACAAGGGTAATTGGACAGAACTTAGGGATCAAGAGAAATGGAGAAAAGTGGGACACAGGGACAGGAGACTCATGGGGAGTCACAACCAGTTTGCCCTGGCGGGAAGGGGATAGGCAGGCCTCCTTCCTGGGTCACAGGGGTTGTATCTGACCTTCCTCATAGCCTTATAATTGTGATGCCGGAAGTCCAGAGAGTCAGAAGATCCCAGCGTGTGGGCCTCAGGAGACAGGTCATTAGGATCTGGTAGGAAGTGAACTCCAGGTAAAAGTTAAGTTCATACTGGAGGATGCCCCTGAAGTCAGACCCTGCCCATACAGCCTTAGCCCAGCTGCTCACCTGAGACTGGACAGGCCAGGATCTCTGCCCGGAGGCAAGGTGCACCTTCCTGGAACCAGGTCTGAGGCAGCAGGCGAATGAAGCGAGCCACCTGAGGCTCTGGCAGGAGGTTCAACACTGGGGTCTCTAAGTCTGAATTGGCAGGAAATACCTGGGGATATGGAGTCCTTGCTGAGGATGCTGAGACCTGACACTGGCCCAAGATCCAGGGAAGGATTTCAGGCTCCCACACCCATGAGCCAACCCTCCCTGGCAGGTTCAGCTGGAGACATGCACGTTATCAAACATGGATCCCCATGTCCATAGCTCCTGCCAGTGGGCAACTTTGGGCAGCTGTGTTTTCTGACATGGTTTCAGCTCATTAGAGTAACATATCCATTCTGCAGCCTTGTATAAAAGAGGTCCATGAGACGGAAAACCAGAACAGACAAGAAGTAAATTAGCCAGAGGTCAGAAGGGTGTCCCAGGAAGGAGCTGCAGCACCCACCCCATGGTGGAGTTAATGAAGATATCCTAAAGGAGCTTGTGCTGGGTAAATAATTGCCCTGTGACTGCACAAAGTCCTGGATTTGAGCCTTAGCACTGCAAAAACAAAACAAACAAACAAAAACAAAACCTTTCTCCTGGAGCCTAAGTGTGTATCTATTTTTTATTTGCAGAGAATTCTCACCCTAGCCCAGTACCCTAATGGGCTGGTCCTAGCCACTATGGGGTCACTTACCATGTCCATCCCACTACTGTGATTCCTGCTCTTCCACCAGGTCTGGCTGTCATTGCTGAACTGAACTTTGTATGATGTGACCCAGTCATACCTGGTCACAGAGATGAAGAGAAATATTACACAGAGATACTGCCCAAGTAGTACCATTGCAGGACTTCTGTGTCTGTCCACCAATCACTTCCAGGCTAATAGTTAGCCTGCCTCACCTCCACACAGAATTTCTGCCCTGCGTAACAATTCCCGAGAAGCGGACAGAATTCTTAGCATCCACTTGAAACCAAGGCTCGGTGTCCTGTTGCTCGGCACACCAAGCCCCATCATACAGATCACCATCTTCCAGACCTGACTGTGGACACAAGGTCATGGTGATGAAGCCAGGCAGGCCAACAGACAAGGGCGAGGACGAGGGAAGCGAAGGAGAAGGTCCTAAGGCTGCTGACCTGGATGTTGAGCCGTCCTCGGTGTGGTCCAAGACCAAAGGACTGGCTGCTAGAGGCCTCAAGCTGACTATCTGAAACCCGTAAGGACTCCAGGCCTAGAGGGGGACATCCTGGGATAAGGACAGAACAAGGAGATGGGATTAGATGGAGGGTAACCAGAGCAGCTCAGGGGATGAGCCTGAGCGTGATCCTATGCTAGGAAGGGCCCCTGGCAAGGCAATACCTGGTTCTTGTTTCTCAGGGAGAGGGAGGGTCTTCGCTGGGTTGGTGGTCACCAAAGGCCTGGCGGTCGCCGAAGGACCGGGTTGCCTTAGCTTCTTTCGCTTCTTGACGATGATTTTTTTCTTCTTGATGACTCGCAGCCGGACATGCTGTTCTGAGGTCTCTAGGGTACCGGGAGGCAATGTACCAGGGGAGGGAAGAATGTCACAAAACCCAGATGGAATGAGTCCAAGAAGGCATTGAAGCATTTGGGACTCTCACTACAATTACCGAAGTCTTAGCATGGCCTTCAAGTCCTGTCACCCCAACCTGCCTTTCCTAGTCACGTCCTTGGTGCCCTCTGCCTCTGATCCAGTGGGGAGCAATGTCGACCCATTAGAAACTGGTCAGTTTTAGTTTTTAACCTCTGGACCTTCTCCTAGCTGCTCCCTCTGCAGTAACACTACCTCCCACCTCTGACCTTACACCTCCCCCGACCACCCTCCAAGCCATCCTTAGCTTCAGCCTAGGCCTCCGGTCTTGTCCTGAAGTCTGTGCTTGGCCTACCTGCTAGCCTCAGAGCTCCGACTTCCCACAGGAAGAAGCTGGGAGGCCAGACAGCCTGCCTGTACCCATCAGGAGCCCGAGACCCTTTTCCCCCACGGAGCCTCAACACCCCTTCTTTTCCCCTCCAGTCCTTGGTCGTAAACTCTCTCCTACACAGGCTCACTCTGCCCCTTTTAGTCTGGTGTCTCTTCACGTTGCTTGAGCTCCTCCAGATTCTGGCCTCAGTTTCTTCATTTGTGAAAAGAGAAGGCTGGAGTTGGAGCAGCCAGCATCCCACTGGGCCTGCCCTGGAACTGCTGACTAGGTCTGACCAGAATGGGGTTGCTGAGTCAGCAGCCATTGCACAGGGCTGAGTGTGTGTCCCTGTTCACAGGGCGAGCTGGAGGACCCAGCTCGGGGAGTGGGTCTGACCTGCTCAGCAGCCGGCCGTGGGTCCCAGAGCTCACCGTTTGCCTTCGTGGACGGCTGTGTAAGGCTGCTCTGTGGGGCCAGGGTTGAGCCCGGTGCCAGGCCCAGCCCTGCAGCGCTGGGCGCCCCCAGACTCAGACCGACCGAAGGCGCAAAGGCAGTCACAGCGAGCAAGAGACCCCACATAGCGGGAGGGTCGGCGGGCCGGCGGTGCCGAGGCTCTCGGTGGGTTCCCGTCTTCCTGCGGGCGCCCGCGGAGCCCCCCGCCCCTTCCTGCCCGCCCGCTCGCTCTCCTCCGCCCCACGCCCCTCTGCAGCCTCCGGCCCGCCCACAGCCACTCGCCGGAATCCGACCTCCTAGGAGAGGGCAGGGGGGGCTGGGGAGAGGCGCGAGGTCCCCCTGTGGCCGCGGACTCACTCGGGTGGGCCGCGAGGACCCCCGGCGGCGGCGGGCCGGGGCCTGCCCGGCGACCCAGTGCTGCAGCCTCACCGGTGCCCGACCCTCCACTGTCTGCCTGCGAAGCCACCGCACAGTCCATCGGACCGCGCGCCCATCCCACGGCGGGCACCTATGCCAGGCGCTTTGCACGTGGTCTGAATTTCAGTCAAACTTCAGGTTACAGACTGGTAAACTGAGGCTCGGAGCGGCGGTTAGTTGACGTGGCCAAGGTAGCAGGGCTGTGAGCTTTGGAGAGGAAACTCCATCCGGAGCCTCGGGTGCCTTGCTAGGGCGGGTGGGACAAAGCGGGAAAATCCGCTGGAATACAGCGGGGGTGAGGGCTCAAGGTTCGTGGGGTGGTGGTGGTGAGGGATGAGGGGTCCTCCATTAATTCCAAAGACAACCTATGGGGTGCAAAGAGAGGCGGCGCTTCCCCCTCGTCACCACCATCCTCCGTTCCGCCTCTTCTCTTTTTCCCTCCCTGGGATGCCACGTTTTGGGGGTTACATAACTCGAGGAAGGCAGCCAGAGCTGATAACCAGAGGGCTGGCGTCAAGAACGAGAGGCCAGTTCTCCCTGTTCCACCTCCTTCCCCTCTTCTCCTCCTCCAGGAGTTCTCAGACCCCTGTCTTCCCTAGGACCCCTCTGGGTTACCCCCCACACCTGAGCCACCCGCCCAAAAGGAAGACCTGCACTCTGGTGCTTGTTTTGCCTTTGTTTCCATCCCCACAAGAAGTGACGCCCACAGGTGGCTGGGACCCCTAAAAAAAGGGTACGGGGCCGTGGTCTATGGAAACAAACCGAATAACCTTGTCATCAAGGCGGCACCTTTCTGGCAGCATGAACGGAACCAGGGTCTGGTAGAAGTGCGAGGCCACACGTGCGGGCTCCTCAACTAAGGCCACCTCCAGTAAGCCCTGCCATCTGGTCCAACTGTAACACTCCAAAGGAGAGGGGCAGAGAACTCTGAGAAGGGAGTGATCACCGAGGACCAATGCATGACCAAGTCCCTTCTTGGCACCCCCACCTAAGCAGCATGCTAGGCCCAGGTCATCTGAAAGAGAGACATAGAAAAGTTTAAGGAAGCCTCTCTGATAAAACAGGCCAGAAGCAGCTTAGAGAAAGAAAGGATTTATTTTTGTTTGTAGGCTCATCCAGGGCAGTCAAGGCAAAACTCAAGCAGGAACTTGAAATAGAAACAGAAGGAAAACCCTGCTGGTTAGTTTTTGGGTCCATTCTTAGCTAGCTTTCTTATACAGCCCGGGACCAGCTGTCCAGGGAATGTCCAGGGATGGTGCCACCCACAGTGGGCTGGGCCCTCATACATCTATGAACGATCCAGACAATCCCCCAGAGGCCAGTCTCATCTCTGCAGTTCCTCAGTTGAGGTTTTCCCCTCTGATGTATCACGTTGACAACAGAAGCTAAACAGGATTGCTTTAAGGCACAAGACTTTCTGAACACAGGGTCAATGCACATCTGAAGACAGCAGACGCAGAGCTTCCTTGAGTTGCAGACCAATATCTGAAAAGGTAGAGGGCTTCTGGGCTTCCACCAGAAGCCTCACACTCAAGCAAGTTTCCCAGAGAGCTGTAAAAGGGAGGAGGGGAGAGAGAAGTACCAACAACAGGCCATCTGAGACTCAGCCCCTACTCCCTCCTTCCATACTCTTCCTCAGAGCCCGTCTTGATCCCTGAACCACTTAGCATCTTCCCACAGCCCTCTCTTACTGGGCTACCACCTCTGACCCTGGCCACTGGGTATTTGGGGCTGCAAAGGCAAGAGGTCTCCAGACAGAGTCAAACGACGATGACCCCAGGGATAAAATGGCAAGTTTCTACCCAGTCACCTGTATAGCCTGGTCTCTATCTCCAAGAGCCTCATGTAGGGTCTTTGGGTGCCACAGGGACAAGAATATGTTTCAGGAAACAACCTTGTAGGTTGGATGGGGCACCCGTCCGAAGGAGATGTTAGTCTGAGGGACAAGCTGGGATCAAGAGTTCAAAGACAGCATGAGCAGGACAGCAAGCCTTGATCTCAAAATGAAACATTAAAACCAAGAATATAATTAATAAACAAAATTCTGGTGCCATTTTGCCTTTTTGTTTATATGTATGTCATCTTTTTCTGTGCAGGAAGCACCAGTAATTTTAACTTCACGTGACTATGAACCGGTAGGACTATATTGACTCTATGTAGTCCAGTTTGGTCTTGTCTTAGTTAGGGTTTCCATTGCTGTGAAGAGACACCATGACCATGGCAACTCTTATAAAGAAATTAAATTGGGTGGCTTACAGTTCAGAAGTTCAGTCCATTATCATCATAGTGGGACATGGCAGCGAGCAAATAAACATGCTGCTAGAGAAGGAGCTGAAAAATTCTATATCTCAAACTGCAGGCAACAGGAAGTGAACTGAGACACTGGGCATATCTTGAGCATAAGAGACCTCAAAGCCTGTCCCCACAGTGGCACACTTCCTCCAACAATATCACACCTACTCCAACAAAGCCACACCTCCTAATAGTGCCACTCCCTATGAGCTTATGGGGGCCAATTACATTCAACCTACCACAGGTCTCTATGTACCTGAGAATGACCTTGGACATCTGATCCTTCTGACTCTGCCTAAAGAATGCTGGAATTACAGGTATGCATCCACCACCACACTCAGCTTACTAAAAGTTGTGTGATTTAGGCTCTCTGATCCTCCCTGTTTGGCCATATTGGTCAAACATATTGACACATGGTCACTAGGGCTGCCTTCAGCTCTGGTTAAGAGGATATTGTTGCCATCAAAGACCTCAACTACATGGTTTACATGTTCCAGTAAGATTCCACGCAGGGCAAGTTCTCTGGAATAGTCACAGCTGAGAACAGGAAATTTGTCATCAGTGGGAAAACAATCTCCATCTTCCAGCAGCAGAATCCTGACCACATCAAACGGGTTGAATCTGGTGCCAAACACAAGTGTGGTCAGCTGGTGTCTTCACCACCATGGAGAAGGCTGGGGCCCTCTTGAAGAGTGGAGGCAAAGGTCATCATCTCCGCCTCTTCTACTGTTGCTGCCATGCTTGTGATGGGAATGAACCACAAGAAGTATGACACTCACTCAAGGTTCTCAGCAATGTTTCCTGCACCACCAATTGCTTACCCTCCCTGACCAAGGTCATCCATGACAACTTTGGCATCACTGGGGGACTCATGACCACAGCACATGACATCACCACCATCCAAAAAACAAACAAACAAACAAAACATGGATAGCCCCTCTGGGAAAGTGTGGTGTGATGGTTGTGGGACTACCTAGAACATCAACTCTGCATCCACTGCCAATGCTGTGGACAAGGTCTTGACAGAGCCAAGCAGGAAGCTCACTGGCATGGCCTTCCACGTTCCTACCCACGGTGTGTGTGTTGTAGATCTGACCTGCCACCAGAGAAAGCTGTCAAGCACAAAGACATCGAGAAGACGGTGAAGAAGCTGGAGAGATGACTCTGGTTAAGAGCACTTGCTGCTCTCGCAGAAGACCTGGATTAAATTCCCAGAACCCACAAAGTGACTCATAACCATCTGTGACTCCAGTTCCGGGGGATCTGGGACCCTCTTCTGATCTCTTCATTCATCAGGCACACATCTGGTACCCTGACATACATGCAGGCAAAACACCCCCACACAGAAAATAAATTTAAAATTGGTTTTAAAAGGTAGTGAAGCAGGCACCCAGCTGTACCCGGCATTTGGGGCTATATGGGGAGGAACAGGCTGTTTCCTGTCATTTTAGCAGTGACCCCCACTCTTTCATCTTTGATGCTGGGGCTGGCATTGCTCTCAATAACAACTCTGTCAAGTTCATTTCCTGGTATGACAAATGAATTCAGCTATAACTGCAGGGTGGTGGAGCTTATGGTTCACATGGCCTCCAAGGGGTAAGGAGCCCTGAAAGAGGCTCTTGGCTGCTGGGGATTCCCTCTCCCAAATCAAGCCCCAACATACGTCCCCAAATACTTAGCATCTCCTGTCATAGCTTTCACCCCAGGCCCCCAGAAGAAGGGGGAGGCACTTAAGAAGCCCTATTCCCTTGAATAACATAGGTAAAGTTCATTGCACCAGAAAAAAAAAATTATGATTATTTTTTCTATTTGAAGTTTCTAAAACTAATTTTCAAATATTATTTCTCTATTTTTGTTAACTTTTTTTTAATAGTTTCTTTGGGGTTTTGGTTTTTATTCTACTCTCTGGACAGTTTCCTAAACAACTCCCCCGGGACTTAGCTGTCATCAATAAATTCCACTGATAACTTTGACCTCCAGTAACCTGATCATGAGGCTGTTTCATTTCCAAGCTGTGGGTGACTAAGTAGCCATCTGGGAATCAAAGACTGTCCCTCTTATCCTTTCTCTCAACTCATGATTCCATCCTATTTTAGTGAATCAGCACTGTCCTTGTGAATCCTACTTCAGATGCCAATGTTTTTCTGGAGTCCCCATGACCATTCTCTTAGAACTCAATGGTTTATCAGGAGAATTTACCTAAGTGGTTATACTAATGGTCACAGATTGTGACAAAGGAAGGTTGCAGGCAGATTAAAACCAACAATAGGAGCATGTACTTTGGCAGGGTACAGGAAACTCTGGGTACAAGCTTCCAGTTGTTTATATGACAATGGAATCAGGTAGCCAGGACTTAATATTTCCAGCAGTATGTGAGACATCAGCACCAAGTTCTGTTAGTAAGAAAAAGTCACTGCAGCCTTGGTGTCCAGAATGATTTTGGAGATCAGTTATACAAGTACAGTTGACTGCTCATGTTGGTTGATGTTAGTCCAAACCTTCTAGAGGCCAAGGTAATCCTAGTTTCTGGTCTAAGTCTCCAACAAAAATCACATTGTTGGCATAGACTATTTGATGTGGCCCAAGACTTCCATGTAAACAGAGACACTTATATTGAACAGGATAGTCCAAGGACTTAGAGACTAGCTCCTTATAGAGAGCCCAGCAAGAGCCAACCAGTCTTGAGGTTTAATATATATGTATGCTCATGTGTATGAGGGTTGCCAGAAGGAGGTGTTGGATCCCCTGGAACTGGAGTTGCATGCAGTTGTGAGCCACCTGATGTGGGTGCTGGGAACTGCACTCTGGTCCTCTGGAATAGTGGGAAGAGCTCTTAACCACCAAGCTTTACTCCAGCCCCAAGCCAAATCGTTTTCATGAATGAACATGATACAGATCATCCAGATTTGCTGAGTCCTTCACTACAAGATAGGCTGCCAGATGCTATTGACTCCCCACTGAGGTCCCCTTTACCAACCAGTGTGTTGTCATTCATAAATCATAGCTGTCTGATCTCTACAAAGGCCCTCAGCAGATAGCAAAGTTACAGTTCTCCAGCTTCTATCTCCCTCTTCCCTTTCCTTCATAAAAGAGGTATCATCAATGACTGATGGATATGATGAGGTCAACTCTATAGCACAATTCACTGTTCTCAGAGCTATCTGCAAGGTCAGACTGAGGCTGGACTCTAGACAAGACCACATGCTAGGTTAGCCCTTTCCTCTACCCTGCCCTTCTCCTTCCTCATCTCCTAATTTTTCTCCCTTCTGAAAACAACTCCAAACCCTCAGTAGAACATCTGTATGAGAGCCCATGGTCTGTCTTAGGAGTCTGAACCCAACATTAGATGAAAAACCTGGCACACAGGGATCACTTTATAAATTATTATTGAATGAAAAATAGACGGAGAAAACTCCAAGTAGAATTCCCCTACAAATTATTCAGAGCGCCTTGCACATGCTAAATCTTAAGGAGTATTAGTCACACACCCTATTCCCAACCCCTTGTGTTGTGACAACTTCCTCTCGGGAGAACTGTCAGGATGTGACTCTCAATCCCATAGTTCAGGGATGCAATCTTGCAAGTGGATGCATCAGAAATGAGCAGACTCACGAAACTGGCAATTGAAAACCTAAATGCTAATTTTCTCATTTACAAAGACAATTGAGACTTAGACAAAAAAACAGGATCCTCTGCTATCTCTATGTCCTTATAGACAAATCTATATCGGAAACACGATTCCCAGGCAAACAGAAGCCAGTGGAAGGGCAATTGGTGAATGATGTGAAGGGCAAATGACACTGGCTCTCTGGTGCCAACTCCATCACCACCAAACATGCCAAGGTCACTGGGCCTGGGTCTTTGGGGAGGGCTTCCTGGGAGGCAGCTTAATGCCCTTTCTATCACTATCACCCAGTCTCTTCTTTTTCTGGGGGTTACGTTGTCAGTGTCTCCCTTACCCCAGCCCCTTCAGTTTTCCTTCAAAGTACGAGTAATATTTAAACTTATATGTCACTTCTACTCATCTTCACCACCAGTCCATGTACTTAGTAACTCTGTAACCACTCCCCCTTCATAGATTCAGTGGGAATACGTTTATTCTTATTGGATGATTGTAACCAGTAATGGCGCCAATCCATTTATTCCATGTTCATTCCTTAATTTCATTCTTAGGTGGCAGCCTTTAACTTCCCATTTGGAGTTTATTCGAGGCACGGTTGTACATGTGGCATGGTTGTGCATGTGGCATGGTTGTGCATGCCTGCAGTCCCAGCACTCTGGAGGAGGCAGAGAGTTACCAAGAGTTAGGGAGCAGCCTGCATCATATGGAAATGTCAAGGTCAGCCTGGAACACACAAACAGACCTTGCTCAGAATAACTTGGGGTCACGATGTTGTAGGCCTCTATCTTTTTTTTTTTTCAATTTCTCTGGGCAGCATCTCATTGTATAGTCCAGGCTGGCCTTAAACTCACAGTCTTTCTGCCCTAGCCTTCCGAGCACTGAAATTAAGGCATATGCTACCATACCCAGCTCTCTGTCTCATTTCTGAAACAGTAACATCTCCCCAAACTGCAGTGTTTAAAACATCCAAATGCATCTTCCTGCCACCCACAGCCTAACTTGCCTCCTGGAAAAACCTATTCTGCATTTCAGAGTTGCAGGTCTGACTCCCCCACTACCCCTCAGGCCTTACCCCACATTCAGGGAAGAGAACTGGATACAGAAAACTGAACGACTGAATGACATCCCAGACACACAGCCTGAGGAACTTCCAGGAAGAAGTAGCCTCTCCTCCCTTGGGCAGGAGTCCAAGTAGTCATGCTGTTAGCATGCTTTCCTGACAACCCAGAACCCATGGGAAGTCCCCGGGGCAGAGAATTATTAGCCAAGGCAATAACTAAGGGTGAGTCCTACTTCTCAGAAAACATTGATTTGCTAGCTAAGCCCCACCTAGGCTACTAGTGCTTATGAGGCAAGACAAACTATTGTCCTGTCCTTAACTCAAGGTCCTCCCTTGGCAATAAGTCACAATGCCCCAGGTGTCCAAATCCAGAATGGTTGACCCAAGTGGGAGGAGGTGAGGAGAGTTTGGGGAAAACGTGGAGTGGGAGTTGGGGGTGGGGGCATCTACAAAGAGCCGAGTTCCCCATTCTCTGAGCTCACCCTTGAGTGTACACCAAGGTCCTCCTCCCTCCTGATTCTTAATCTCCTAGCACAAGCTCTTCCTAATACCTCCAAGCCCCAGCTCTGCTTGCCCATGCCCGAAGCCCTTATAGACCCCGTCCTATCCTTCCCAGTGATCTGGATGTTAGAGAGGGGTTGAGTAGGTGAGTGAGCCATGTGTGTCCCCTGGGATGTCAGCCAGGCCCAGCTCCTGGACAGTCTCCTAGGGCTGGGGGCACTCGGAGTGACAATTGGAACAGTCTTCTCGACAGCTGGCATAGCCCTGCTGCTCCTGCTGCTGTTCAGCTTCCTTGCTTTTGACCTGCTTCATGGGTAAGTGGCAGCAGCCTGCTGGGTAGGTGTCACAAGCACAGGGACAAATGAGCAATTGCCTTGAGCTGCCATCTTCTCTCTCCACAGGCCCTCAGGTCCCACGCTGCTACAACAAAGACTTCTCCCAATGGGTCAGAGCCAGGGGGCTGGTGAAGGCCCAGGACAGCAGGCAGCTCCCCTCTTCCCAACAGGGATAGTCTCAGGACTACTCAGTCTCCAGGATGCACTGTTCCTGCTGTTCCTGGGCCTGGGCCTGTTCTTGGGAGGCTCTGGTATACCCTTAGCCCTGCTGGGCCTAGCTTTCTGCCTCCATCCTTGGGACTAAGGGCCCTCCGAAAACTGAATACCTTCTAAAAATACACCAGCCATTCTGCTTCCCCAGGTTTCTTCTCCTCCATCCTGAGCTACACGAGGGTAAGGTTGTGGGGTATGGGTAGAATACTCCATTGTGTTCAGCTTGAACCTCAAAGGCCTCTAGTTCCACATGGACATTTGAGAACTGGGTCTGAGGCTTAGGGCAACAAGAGAAGGCAGAGAAAAAGGTGGATACAGCAACCAACTCCAGCCCTGCAGTTGGAAGAAGCCATCAAGGAGGAACAGGAAGGCTTCCCGTAAGCAAGGGGGATGGTAACTGTGAGGCTTGCTGACAGCCTGGAGGGTCCATAAGTGAGGGACTCAAGTGAGTCTGACACTATGCACTAGCTCCTCTCTTAGCTGGGCCCCGCCCCAGCCCAGGTCATAATGGACTCCTCTGAGGATGGGGGGGGTGAGTGGGGTTGAGACTGGGACCTAGCTGCCAGGCTGGCCTGGGCACATCAGGAAGCATCATGACTTAAGTGACTCTACCCAAAGGTAAGTCCTAGACCCCAGTTCAAAGCCCCATCCTGCCCGGGCTGGTCTCCTCCTGACCCCTGCAACCCCACCTATCCCGAGGTCCTGGGCATCTCCAGGGCTGCTCCTGCAGCTGGCCTGGCCCTGTCCACAGGTGCACCAACCGTGATGCAGCAGCCACGAGTGGAGGCGGATATCATCGGGGCTGGCGAGGGGCCCCAGCGGGCAGTGCCCTGGTCAGCCTGGGTCACCCGTCAGGAGTGGGTACGCTGGTGGACATGCCACATGCCCCGGAGCTGGTCCCAGTGGTGGAATACATCAGGCTGGCGGCAACCACTACAGCGTATGCTATGGGGTCTGGAGGGGACCCTCTACCTGCTGCTGGCACTGATGCTGTGCCATGCACTCTTCACCACTGGCTCCCACCTGCTGAGCTCCCTGTGGCCTGTGGTGGCTGCGATGTGGAGTCACCTGCTGCCAGCTATCCTGCTGCTGGTACTCAGTGCCCTGCCTGCTCTGCTCTTCGCTGCCTCCTTCCTGCTGCTCTTCTCCACATTGCTGAGCCTCGTGGGCCTCCTTACCTCCATGACTCATCCAGGCTATGCTCAGGACTTGGACCAATAGAAGGGCAACCCCATCTTACTGCCTGTGTCTGTTGAGCCCTGGCCTAGGGCCTGAGCCCTGTGGGAGGGAGGGCAGTGGAGCCTCAATGGACCTCAGACCCTCAATCACAAGCACAGGTGGAGGCCTGGCTTCTGGGCCATCTACCTTAAACCCATGATGGTGTCAGGGACAGGACAAACGGTGTAGCCCAGGACAAGAGGCCAAGCCACCGAGAACACCCACATGGATGTGGTAGCATCACTTGGTCTCCCGGGCAGCATCTTTGTGTCACGCCACCTCAGCCCTCCCTGCTTTAGGCTTCCTGAGAGTTTCCACCCACATACCCCTGGACTTGTCACGGATCCTCTCTACTTCCAGGAGGAGCACAGGCTCTGGAATGGGCCTTACTGAAAGAAAGATAGATGGGGTGGGTCCTGGTCAAAATCCCTGGGGACCTCACCTCACTCACCTACCAGAAATGGGGTCAATCATCATAGTGAGTTTCATGTGTGTGTGTGTGTGTGTGTGTGTGTGTGTGTGTGTGTGTGTGTGTGTGTATGCACACACATATTAGAGATTGAACCAAAGGCTTTGTGCATAAGCATACACCCACCCCTACATACATATAGAGCCTCCAGATCTATTATGAAAGAACAAGTCCCATTTCAGACACGCACACCTTGGCCAATTCATTGTTTTGAACCTCAGTGTTAAGTGGGTCCCATTTTTTTTCACGAGATTTCTATGATCCAAAGTCAGTATCTATCAGCAAAATTCTTTGGCTTTTTTGTCTTTGTTTTCATCTTGAGACAGGGTCTCATGAAGCCCATGATGGGAACTCTCTACTTAACTGAGGATGACTTTGAGTTTCCGATCCTATTGCCTCTATCTACCTCCAGAGTACTGGCATTAAAACTTGTGCCACCATGCCTGGTTTTATGAAAAGTACTTTGTAAGGCCAAAAAGCAGTTAAGGTGTTTTAGCTCCAAGATCATTCTACGAGCTCAAAAGGCCCTTTGATCCAGAAGCTGGATGATGGAGCAAGTTTCTCTAGGAGTCCAGGGAAATTCTCTGTCACCGAATCTCAGCCCTGAGACAGTTAACATAGACTGGATGGTGTGGATGAGATGTAAAAGGCTGTGTCACATGACCCCAAACTAGGCAGACAGTAAACTATACTAGTTGTACGATGCTTGAGGTTGGAGCCTGGTAGCAGGAAATGCTTGCAAAGCTGAGTAGGAAAATAATAGCTCAGGGATTTCCAAAATTGATCAAGCAAGTTGCTGACATCCCAGAAGGTTTTGGAGCATCCATCCTCAGAGTCTGGCCATTTACCTATCTGCTGACTCCTCCAAACAAAACTTTGAGTAATCAGTTCCCAAATAAAGTAATAAACATGTTAGATAATTTGCCCACAGCCAGGGCACAGCTAACAGTCTTTATCCACTCCAAACCTCTACCCAGTCCCTGCTGCTTCCCAGCTCTTTATCTGTTTTATATCTAACTTTAAAATCTTTGCTTCAGAAGCTCTAGGCCAAAAAACTCTTCTGCCACCTAAACACTCATGCACCTCAAATCACGGTTCATTTTGGCTGAAACCTGCCACAGTTTTGGAACGCTGTATGTCATTGGTTAGACATCTTTAGTTTGTTGCCTAAACCCCCAAACTAGCCCCTCCTGCTTCTTTGTAGTTCCCCTAGCAATGTGGCCATTGCAAGGGTCAAGGCAAGACATGGAGGTGCTGTAGCTTTATGGTTAGCTGAGGATGACCTTGAACTTCTGATCCTCTTGCCCTTACCTCCCAAGGGCTGGGGTTACAGGGATGTGCTACCATGCCTGGTTTATTTGGTACTGATGACCAAACTGAAGGTTTCCTGCATCTTAGGTAAGCGCTCTACCAACTGAGCTACATTTCCAGCCCTAACAAGTCTTTCTGAAATTCATTTTCTACATGGGTAAAACAAAGAAAAAGACACTTTGCCTTGGGGCATCTAGCTTGCAAGGTGAAGCGCCTGAACTAGCCCCTAATGACACAACAGACAGACACACATACACACACACACACACACACACACACACACACACACACGTACGTACATACATACATACATACATACATACATACATACATACATATGTACGTATACTGTGACTATTTTGTCAGGATCAGATAACCACTCACCAGTGCCAAGGCCAGGCTGTTTGAGTCCTAGGTCACTCTAGCAGGCTACTAAGGAGAAATCCATGTTAGAGGTGAAGCCAAGGTCTAGTTGATGCCCTAAGTCAAATATGTCTAGATGTCTACAGGGATGAGACTTCCGAGTTATCTGTGGTTGAAACAGAGACTAAGATGCCTAGCCTGGATCTTTTACTAATTTAGCCATGCCTCACCGACCAGGGACATCACTCCGGGGACCTGGGACCATTCTAATCAAGGGGAGGGAAGGTTTTAACCAGGACCATACGCACAGGCTAGCAGGGGACATAATGTAGGTGAGAATAAGAAAGGCCTTTCCCCTCCCCTCCTATCAAATACCTCTTCCACCCTCTTGACCTGCTGGTATGGGGCAGAGTGAAACAGTGAAACCAGAAAGCAGATGGGCAATCCTCATCAAATCAGGGCTACTTGTATCCTATAAACCAGAAACGCAGATGAATTCTCACAGAGGTCCTCAGAGGGTCTTACTGTTCAAAACGTGGTCTCAGGAAGAGCAGTATAGTCATCCCTTAGCTCTTTAGATATATACTCTGTGGGGGGCTAGAGAGATGGCTCAGCAGTTAAGAACATTTGCTCCTCTTGCAAGAGGATCCTGGTTCAGTCCCCCAAACCCACATGTCAGCTCACAATCATCTGTAACTTCAATTGCAGGGGCTCTGATGCCCCCCTCTCTTCTGAGGGCACCAAGCACTCATGTGGTGCAGATACATGCAAGCACTCATACATGCACTTAAAATAAAACTTAAAAGTAAAAACTAGACTCTCAGGGGCTAAGGATGTAGCTTATTTGGTAGTGTCTGCCCAGCAATCAGCCTCAATCCCCAGTGCCACAGAAGCTTGGCTGGTAGTTTTTGACTTGGGAGATGAACTCAGGAGGAACAAAAGTTCAAAGCCACCCTCAGCTACATACCAAGTTTGAGGACAGGCTGGATTACATGAGACGATGTCTAAAAAGAAACAAACAAACAAACAAACACAAACAAAACCCAAAACAGATTTTACAGCTCCACCTTAGACCTGCTGAGCTAGGTCCTGCATTTAAAGACTCCAAGGTGACAAGTGTTTGAGAGGCACAGCACTGGACAGGTGGCTGAGGATTTGACTGCACTCTTGATGGGGCAAGGAGATGGGAAGGGTAAAGCATGGAAAGGAAGGCAGCAGTTAGAAGGGGCAGAAGCTGCCAGATCAGTCGTGAGATCTTAGCATAAAATACAGTTCTCATTGCACACATTTAAACTGTATAGTGGCACAATATTGCTTTTTGCAAGAAACAATGGCATGTATGACTAGTGTCGAGAAGCAGAGTGGCATGCATGACTAGCGGCAGGCAAATGGAGTGGGCTACAGTGTGAGACACCTTGCAGAAAAGAAAAAGTTTCAACATAATTCCTGAAAATCTTTAATGTATACAAAGCCATCCACTTATAGTTTAAACGATTTGAAGATCCAACCTAATGGAGAATGGAAACACTCCAGTCAAAGTGTCCTAAGCCTTTACAGTTGGGCGAAGAGGAAAGAGGTGTCCCAACTGACGTGACGGGTGAATATTTTTGCCTGCCCTTCCTCACCTCATCCACAGTTTTTTCCGATGGGGTTGGAATAAAGGGGCTGGGATCCACCAATGGTTTTCATAAAAAAAAAAAAAAAAAAAAAAAGCCGGTCAGGTATGGCTTAGTTGATTCGCACCAACACCGTATCTTGATACTGAGTAGCACTATCAGTATACAGTACCAGTATGATACTAAGGTGTGTGTGGGGGTGTGGGGGTGTGGGTGTGTGTGTCCAATATGACCTTTCTCTTTCTGTCTCATGGTACAGGGAGAAAAGAGGAACAGCCTGGACCTAGAAGGACCTTTAAAGATGATTAAAGGGGAATGCATGTATCTAGGTACTCATTGATGAGCACGCCTGGCTGAGTGGGACAGGCAGGAAAGGGGTCCCTAGAAGCAGGAAGACAGGCAGCGCCTGGGATACTTTTCAGGCTCAGTGTGGTAAGACTAGACTCTAGAGAGTGTACTCAAGGGTGACTGGCCTTTGGCCAAATTCAGGAGCGAGGAAGCCCCGGCATCCGGGTCTAGGAGGCGACCTGAGCAGCGACAGAAGGAAGCCCAGAATCAAGGGCCTACCATTGGTATGCATGCTTGGCTGTACCAAATGGCAGGGTAAGGGGGAGATGGCTAGTGCAGGGGTGTGTCTGTATGGCTTGGGGGACACCTAGTCTAGGTGGTGTCCTCTGGAAATCCTGTCTGACTAAGTGGAGAGGAGTAGTGAGGGCAGCTGACAAGCCTTGAGGTGGACTGATGTGGAGAGGGTGGACAAGGGCCTGACACTGGTAAGAAAACCCCAAACCCAGCCTAGGATATGAAGGCCATTAGCATCCACAAGGAGAAGGAGTGATAACTGTCCTGGACCATAGAGAGCCCAAAATTCCAGCATGGGGAAACTGGTGCTCAATGTAGCAATGCTCCCCCTGACCCCGGCAAAAATCTGTGGTTCTGGCTATGAAAGGTTGGCCTTGGCTAGGGTCGCCCAGGGGAGTGGGATTCCACAGGCTTGGATGCCAGTCTTAGAGTGAGTGGGGTGAAACTTGGAGGACATGGAGAAATAGCAGGTCTACCATCACCAGGATGCCAGCTTTATTGCCTCCTTACCTACTTTCCTAAACCTCCAGCTTGCCTACCCCAGCAAGAGAAAACCAAGGCTTGGAGGGCTCAGCTGACGAGAATCCTGTGAGGGCCAGCTGCCTTTGGTGAGGGTCCGGACACAATTAACTGTGTAAAACATTTTTTTTTTCAGCTGAGTCAACATTTCCATTTATATTTTGCAATGAAACCTTTGCTTTCTTTATACTGATAACTCACCTTTCAAGTCTTTTCCATCTTAAAAGTTAAAAAAAAATTAGGGCCAGAAATGTGGCTCAGTGGTAGAGCCTGGCTGACATGTGTGATGTCCAGGGTTTGGTTCCTGGTACTGCAATAAAGTGGTTTAAACAGAGATTCATTAACATCTGTTATTTCTACCATATTTTCTTCTCTGTCTTCAAATGTCAGACCCCCAAATAAAATAGATGTTGGTGTACACATCAATAGTTCACACCGTATGTCTGCATGCTCAAGAGGCCACAGGATAAGACTCAGGAACACCATCTACATCCTCTGAGACAGGGTCTCTCATAGCCCGAACTCAACAATTAGGCTAGAATGGCTGGCCAGCCAGCCCCAGGCATCTGCCTGTCCCGTCTTCGCCAGCACTGGATTCAAGTGTGTACCACAATACTTAGAGCACTCTTACGTGAGTTCTGGGAATCAAACTCTGAACCTCATGCTTGCAAGACAAGCACGTCACCTACCGAGCTCTCCTCCCAGCCCAACAGTTCACTTTTTAAAATAACCGAGTAGTATTCTAATGAGTGGTGTACCCAATTTATCAATCCACCCCGTTGATAGATGGACATGAGTCATTTTCAGCATTTGAAATTGCAATTATGAAGTCTCCTTATGAACATGTTTTCATTTTGTGTGGGTAAACACTTAAAGATGAAGTGGCCAGATCATACAGAACAATCTTTTCTATATCAGCCATTCCAGCAGTAAATGGTGTTACCTCGTTATGGTTTGCATTTGCATCTTTCTTCATGGCTGAAGATGTTGAACATCTTTTGATGCGTTTATTTACAATCTGTCTCCTTTCCTTAGGTGTTCAAACTGTTTGCATTCCCTTAAATTTACTGGGCTTTAAGAGTTGTTTATTCTAAACCAGAAATAGGGGATTTCTTATTCTAGATAGTATGATTTGTAAAGACATTCTCCCAGGCTACAGCTTGCCGTCTCTAAACAGCTCTGGGAGAACAGAAGTTTTACATTTTAATGAAATACAACTATAATGAACCGTACCGGTGAATTGTCATGTGTTGATTGAGCTCACCAAGAAGCTGGCTCTGGAAGCAGGATTCCCTTTCCCCACACCCATTTCAGAAAAAGCATGTTTGTATCAAAGTGTCTTCCAATCTCCCCTTGTCTGAGGCTGGACTAGCCTCTAATTTCTGTGACAGGGAGGGGAGAGAACTGCCAAACCCACCATTGTGTCTACTCCACATCAAGGTGCCCTGGACTATGGATGTCCCCCAAAATGCCAGTGTGGGGAATATGGTGCTCAGTGTAGCAAGACACACCCCCTGGTGGGATGTGTGGCTCTGGCCCTGAAAGGTAGCCTTGGCTAGGGCCCCCCAGGGGATTGGGATTCTGTCTAGAAGGCAAGCTATTTAACAGAGGTTACTAATGTTTATCCATGACAGAAGTGCCCACAGCAGGAAAAGAACTCACAAATTCAGTCACGGGAAGCTCATTTATGGAGAAAAAGTTCAGTCGGGATTCCAGTGGACTGCCTCAGCTTCCCCAGGTGGTTGCTGCTGGATGTTGGGCCTGACTTGATGATATTATCTGTTGCTATGTTTTTTATTGGACACCCACCCAAGGAGACACTCTGCTCCCCCTGGGATTCTCTCTATTGGGAATGCCAGCTGGCTGCCTTGAGGAGGCTTCCCCAGTACATTTCTGCTGGATGTTTTGAGCACTCAATTTGATGTTTAGCTTTCACTTGCTCTCCACCCCCACCCCGCCCCTCCAGACAGGGTCTCTCTGTTTAGTCCTGATGTCCTGAAACTCACAGGTGTTATGTAGAACCAGGCTGGCCTCAAACTCACAGAGATTCTCCTGCCTCTGCTTACCAAGTGCTGGGACTAAAGACATGTTGGCCGGGCGGTGGTGGCGCACGCCTTTAATCCCAACACTCGGGAGGCAGAGCCAGGTGGATCTCTGTGAGTTCGAGGCCAGCCTGGTCTCCAAAGCGAGTTCCAGGAAAGGCGCAAAGCTACACAGAGAAACCCTGTCTCAAAAAAACCAAAAAAAAAAAAAAAAAAAAAAAAAAGACATGTTGCCTGGGTTAGCCATCTCTTGTTACTTATTCTTTTAAATTA